CTCTCCCTCCCTCCCTCCCTTCCTCTCACCCCTCCCCATCCCCCACACCTCCCTTCCTCCCTCTCATGCACAAAAACACACTTAACATCTCCCATTACCTTCCTCAGACACGCAATATTCTGATACCTACCACAAAACTGCAATACTAAGACATAAAAAAACTCAACTACCCACAGATACATACACAAACTTTAAGACTAAGACATCAAAAACTCAACTACTCACAGATATCTGTACAAACTATAAGACTTAAACATCAAAAACTCAACTACTCACAGATAGGCCTACATACACAAACTTTAAGACTAAGACAAAAACTCAACTACTCACCAGATACCTACTCAAACTGCAAGACTAAGACATCAAAAACTCAACTACTCACAGATACATACACAAACTGTAAGACTAAGACATCAAAAGCTCAACTACTCACCAGAGTGTACATCCTGTAAGACTAAGACATCAAAAGCTCAACTACTCACCAGAGTGTACATCCTCACGCAGTCCTCCTCCCTGCCATGGTAGTTGTTTGGCTCATTTTGCTTCCAGACAGTGAACTTTACAGGTGAAAGGTCAGACCACACAAAGTTCATCTGAACCTGTCGGTCATTAAGACCGATCCAGTAGCCACGATTCAGTTCTATAAATAAACATGAGTTAGAAGTGAGGTTTAGAAGACTTTGTTTCTTATTCTTTTTTATTTGAGTTTATAATAATAATAATAATTGCATTCATGCAGTGCATTTTCATGCTCTACCACCACATGCTAAACTAGCTTTACAATTATTGTTACCACAGAAGACCCTAGAAAGCTCAGAAACGTTCTCCATTTCTGAGGACCTTCGGTCACTGGCACAAAAGATATTTTTACAAAAAGGCATAACAAATGTGGCATAACGCGGTGGAATCAGACTCTCGTCAATTTTTGAGCATTTGGAGTTGATTGTATCATCTTAAGGCCTGTCCATTTTCCTTGTTTTGGGTGAAAACAATATCCATCTATGTTGAAAAGAAGTCGAGATACGTGTGATTGAAGGAGGTGAGGGTCATCTGGTTTCAGAGGGGAAATTAGCAAAAAAATAGCCGCCAAATTTTAGTTATTTCTTTAGCTTTCCTTCTGCCTTTAATCAACATTTTTCAGGAAAATCCGCACAGAAATGTGTTCTTTAATGGACATGAAAGGTATTGAACCAAAAAACAAAAATTTGATAAAATTCCCAAACCTGTGGGAAAATGCCAATTTCTTGACTTTCATTATTTTGACAAGCGCCTGATTTCACCACGCTGCCTCACAAATACTGATGTAATTATATCATAACTGTAATGTTCCACCCAGACATCGACAAAAGGTAGATCAGATAAGACAACTCTTTATTTCCCTTTGTTTATCTTTCTTTTCTTACTTCTATCTCTATGTGGACCCCCCCCC